CTTGTTTCTGTTTTGCAGCTTTCAGTATTGCCCCTTTGTTCTGTATGCTTAGTTTTTACTGTGATGTGCCATGGAGAGTTTCTTTTCTGGTCCTGTCTGTCTTTTTTGGTCCTGTACTGTCTGTTTCTTAAATTTTTCTGGTCCTGTCTGTTTCAAATACATGTATGGGCATGTCTTTCTTTAATTTTGGGAAATTTTTTTCTATGATTCTGTTGAAGATCTGGTTCATGCCATTATCTTGGGATTCTTCTCCTTCCTATATGCTTATGATTCAGAAGTTTGTTCTTTTTTTTTTTGTGTGTGTGTGTGTGTGTGTGTGTGTGTGTGTGTGCGTGTTTGAGACAGGGTCTCCCTGTAACCTCAGCTTTCCTGGAACTCTCTATGTAGACCAGCCTGGCCTTGTACTCACAGAGATCCGCCTCTGCCTCCCAAGTGCTGGGATTAAATGCGTGACGTACCATGCCTGGCTAAGTTTGGTCTTTTTATGATGTCACACAATTCCTGCTTATTCCATATTCTTGTGTTTTCTTAAATTTTTCATATTCTTTGCTTGAGTGGTCTAGTTAGTCCACTTTATCTTCCAGTCTTGATATTCTGTTTTCCACTTCATTCATCCTATTGGTGAGGCTTTCTCCTGTCATTTCTATTTGGCTTACTGAGTGTTTCACTTTGTTCTTCATTTCAGCCTGAGTAGTCTTCAATATTTCTAGCTCTTTTCTGAATTCATTCAGAAGTTTATCCCTATCTTCCTTCAGTTGTTTGATTTCTTTGTTTTTTTAATTCCTGAATTCTTTTATCATGTTTATAATTGTTCTTTTGAGTTCCATGTCCTGCATTATCTCTAGGGGGTTCTCATTGTACTCCTCTAGAGGACTATTGGTATTTGGTGGGGATAAGTTATTTTGGTTTTTCATGTTATTATTTTTTATGTGTGATTTTTGACATGTGAATTTCTTTTGTAGTTTCTGATTCTTGTGTGAGACTCAAACCTTCAAGTTTAGGTCTGCTTTATGTAAACTTTATGTGTCTTTGTGGTTTACTTTTTGGGCATGAAAACCTGATTCCTCCAACCTTCCGGTACTCTCTTTTGATTTTATATTGGAGTGCCCAGATTGCTTTTGTCTTCAGGAGTTCCTACAGAGGCCCAAGTTAGATGAGGATCAGATGCTCTCAGGCTTTTTCCTAAGGTCTGGATCCCTCTGGGAAAGATTTTGGCCTCAGGAGTTTGGGGGTTGGACTGGCCTGGGATCAGGGCCCAGGAAAGATGCTGGTCTCCAGCAGCTGGTGGCAGTGACACTCAGAGATGCAAAGGGAGATGGGGGTGGGAAGAGTCCCAGAGGGCTCCTGGGGACTGCACTCAGGAACTGGGTTGGCCTGCATGCAAAGGATCAGGAAGCCAAAAGGTCAGCCCAGGCCTCTAGGAAAGAGGCTGGAGTGCTCTGCAGCCCAGGGAAGCAGAGGGATGTGAGGGTGGGGGACCAGGCCCAGAGGGCTCTTGGGGACTTTGAGAAGGAACTGGGTCCATCTGTATGCAAGGGATCAGGAAGAAGTGGTGGCCCTGGGCCCAGAGCTCAGCCCCAGGAAACAGGCTGGTGGTGGTGCAGCCCAGAGAAGCAGAGGGAGGTGAGGGTGGGGCCAGGCCCAGAGCACTCCTGGGGATGCGAGAAGGACCTGAGTTTGTCTGGATGCAAAGGATCAGGAAGCAGTGGCGGTTCCCCAGGTGTCTGGGGTGCCAAGACAAGGCATGGGACAGGACCTAGGAGGAGAGACGGGTGGGCGAGATGGGAAGGTGAATGAGGCTTGGGGAGTCAAGGTGTAGAGGGTGAAGATCGACTTACCCCGGAGAGGGGGCGGGGGCCCTGCAGGCCCAGGGAAGCAGAGGGAGGTGAGGGTGGGACCAGGCCCAGAGGGCTCCTGGGGACCTGGAGAAGGAACTGGGTCTGTCTGGATGCAAGGGATCAGGAAGTAGTGGTGGCCCCAGGCCAAGAGCTCAGCCCAGGGAAGGAGAGGGAAGTCAATCAACATACTTTTAACTAACAAGTCTAAAATTAGTCTCAAAGAAAATGAGAAACTAAAAGGCAAGTATCACAATTTGGTATGTAGCTAAATTAGTCACTAGAGAGAAGTTTATAGATTCAAATAATAGAAAATATGTAATAGAAAACAAAACTACTAAGTACAGCTGTCAGTGATCTATCTTCTGCCACAGGAAACAAGAAAAATAAAAGTTAAATTAAACCCAAGTAAAGAAATAACACAGTGAGTTTGAAAACATAAAAACAAGAGCAAAAGGTCAAAGCTAGTTCTTTGTATAAAACTCAGTGAAATTCATAAGCTATTATTTGGATTGATAAAGAATGAAAAGAGTGGCTGGTTGTGGAGGTGCATGCCTTTAATCCCAGAACTTGGGAAGCATAGGCAGGTAGATCTCTGTGAGACTGAGGGCAGCCTGGTCTACATAGTGAGCCCCAGACTAGATGGGGCTACAGGGAGACTCTGTCTCAAAATATCCAAAAAGAAAGAAAGAAAGAAAATAAAAGAAAAAAGGAATGAAAAGGGATATGTAAATAAGAGTAATGTCATAAATGAAGGGCATTAGAGATCCTGTAGATGGTCAAAGAACAAGGGGATTTTATAAAGTGTTATTATGTATACAAACTCAATAACTTAAAGCAAATGGACATTCCTTGAGGGACACAGATTACCAATGCTCACACAAGAGGATAGGTCACTGAAATAGTCTTCTGCTAAAGAAATCACATCTACCATTAAAAACCTTCTCAATGGGGGCTGGAGAGATGGTTCAGTGATTGAATATGTACTGTTCTTCCAGAGGCCCTGCACTGGCTTTCCAGCACCCACATTGGGTGGCTCACACCTGCCTGTAACTACAGCTCCAGGGAATCCAACACCCTCTTTGATTTTCATGGGCACTGCACTCAGGTCCACATATCCCCCCGCCACCACACACAGATAAACACACATAATTTAAAAAATAATAAAAACAAATGTTTTAAACCTTTTAAAAAACCCACCAAGAATACTCAGGACTATCTGGCTACACTGGTGAATGAATTTTGTTAGTTGTTTTACTTACCTGTAGCATTTGTTTAGGTACTGATATTCATTAGAATTCTGGTAAAAGTGAATAAGGAAAACTAAATTCAATAGTGAAGAAATATTTTCGGATGAGTAGCAACTTGATAAGCCTACAATGATTCTACTTTGCCCTTACAACATCAAGGTAAAATCTAAACTCCTCAGTATTACTTAAGACTAGATTATACCCAGTCAGACTTCTCTATTCCCCCACCCCTAACCCTCACATGGCATTCTGGATGAGAGAGAGGGAGAGAGAGGAGAGAGGGAGAGAGAGAGAATGCAAATGGAGGCCAGAGGTTGGCATCAGGTGTCTTTCTCTGTTGCTCTCCATCCTGTTTTTTGAGACAGGTCTCTCACTGAACCTGGAGCTCACAGTTTCAGCTAGACTAAGCTGACCACAAGCCTCTGGAACCCTCCTGTCTCTGTACACACCAGTAGTGGGATTACAGACACATGTGCTACTCTGGGCTTTTTACATGGGTGTTAAGGGTTCGAACTCAGGTCCTCATGCTTGGCCAGCAAGCACTTCACCCACTGAGCCATTTCCCCAAACCCCTAGGATCTAATGCTATCAATAGTAAGCTTGCTGATTGTTTCCAAGCCTGTTCCCCTGCTAAAACTACAGAGGCATGGTCCAGGTCAGAGTGCAGCAGGACATTTTCTATGGAAAACGCCTCCTGGGTAGAGTCCATGTGGACTCCCACAGAAGTCTACACAATGTAACCTACAACACTCAACCATATCTTTTTTATGTCTTTTGATTTATTTATTTTTATTTTATGGCCATAAGTGTTTTGCTGGCAGTTATATAAGTGCACCCATGTCATGCAGTGCCCACGGAGTCCAGAATAGGGTCAGATACCATGGAACTGGAGTTACAGACTGTTGTTAGCCACCATGTGGGTGCTGAGAACTGAACCTGGGTGCTCTGCAAGAGCAGACAGTTCTCTTACCCTCTGAGGCATCTCTCCAGCCCCCTCAACTATATCTTGATGTTGGTATCACCAAGACATTGCCCGAGTTGTTAAATACTTAGCAAAGAACCTAAAACTCCTGGAGAACATGGGGCCTGAAATGTTCTTACTAAGTTGTCTTGTTGGTTCTTTTTCTGCTTATTATTCCTTTATTATATTTTATGGATTAATTGACTGTGTGTGTGTGTGTGTATGTGTGTGTGTGTGTGTGTGTGTGTGATGTATATATGCATTTGCATGCATTTGGTCAGAGGACAACTTGTAGGAGGCAGTAGATTGTCTCCTTCTACCCTGTGTTTCTGCCCTGTGTTTCCTGGGAATCGAACTCAGACTGTCAGGCGTGTTAACCAACTGAGTCATCTCACTAACCCCGTTTATGATCACTTTTTGCTGATTTTATGGTAGTAAGAATATTAAAATTTAACTATATTTTTTTCTCATTCTTTTTTTTTTTGGTAAGGCACTTTCTTGAATTTCACTTGTTAGTCTGTACAATGGAGTCAATAGCTGGAACAGAGCTGAGAGAATTAAAGGTAACAGAGATGAGAAGGGGGCTGCCTCACATTTGTGGCTACAGGTTACTGTTCTGTTTGTACAAATAGTAGATAGAGGCAGAACTAGGGGCCATTATTGCCTTCCTTATTGGTCCATTGTCCTGAAAGATAACTTTCCTCTCTCTGTGTCTCCTTTCTTTCTTGACAGCTGGCCTCCAGCTTGCTATAGTAACTAAGGTTGGCTATGAATTTCTTATCCTTCTGCCTGCACTCGTGACTGCTGGGATTATGGGTATGCACTACCATGCTTGGTCTATGCCAGTGCTGGGGATTGAACCCAGGGCTTCATGCATTTTAGGCAAATGCTCTACAGACTGAGTTATATCCCCAGCCTAAAGATGGCTTTCTTTTTTTCATGTTTCCCTAATAGTGTCTCAATCGTGAACAAGGTATTAAGTGGATCAAAAAAGAAAGACTTCCAGCATTTCTGGAAAGTGATTGCTACTTTGAATACAGGTATCACAATGCAAAGTACAATCTCTTCTCTCTCTCTCTCTCTCTCTCTCTATATATATATATATATGTGTGTGTGTGTGTGTGTGTGTGTGTGTGTGTGTATGTGTGTGTTTAATGCCAGTTTGCTTCGTATGAAGTTTTTGTCTGTGATTTCTTAGCATCTGTAGGAATTTGGATCCCTTCTGCTGTAGAATAAAAGTGATAAAACATTAGCAAAGATCACTGAACTTTTCTAAAGAGATTTTACAATGATATTCTTTGATTATGAATATTTTTACTTTTAAAATTATTTGTCATTCATAGTAGTATTTACATGCAAGTGTAAAATGGAATGTTAGTATGACATTAAAAACACAGAGCTCGGTGTGATGGTGCATACCTTTAATCTCAGCACACTGGAGGCAGAGGCAGGCAGATACCTGTGAGTTCCAGGCCAACTGGGGTTATTCAAATGTTTATTCAAACATTTCAAAATTTTACTAAAAGTTGAATTAGCTTAGAATAATTTTAAATAAAATGTAAATTAATACTAAAATATTAATTGTGAATACTTCTATGAGTAAGTCATTAATTTGGTATTTCTACAATGCAGGTTAGCCAAATTGATCTCACAAGTAACATGGAGCAAGTCGGGTATGAATTTCATTGTAGGTACAACCTTTGCTCCCTGGGTCCTGAGAAAACCACCCACTCCACCACCTCCCACCACTGAAGATGACCATCTTGGGATTATGAAAAAGTTCTACATTTCTCTTGGCGAGGTAAAAGCATGAGTATTTTTTCATGACTTGGCATCAGCAAAACTTTACATTTCAGAGACAAGGGAAAGTGATTTAAAGTACTTCTAAAGCAGAATTAGGGACAATTCTTATGAATTTATGCTAACTCCTGTGTTCTGCATTATTTTATCTGAAATGCAAATAGAAATATTATTTTCATGTATTTGAAGTAGCAAAAGCAAGATTGAGACATGTGTTTTGTACTTCATCACCTAGGAAGCAAAGGTATTTATATTATACCCCTCATATTCCAAAATTTTTATCATAGGGATTCAATTACTTATGTATAAAATGTGAGTATTGTCTAGATAACCCTTAGACATAAAAATGCATCACCATTTAACTGCTAATCAGAAAGACTTGTCTTCTGTTATTGCAAAAGTGTGTAGTCATATGAGTAATTTGAATAGATGCAACCTGGAATCAAATGTCATTTTGGATTGTCACAATATAGTGAAAACTCATATTTTATTTTTTGCCTTTAATTACCAGATCTTTCCTCTTGTAGCACACTTGTGGTACATGAGTCTAGATGAGACCTGGAATGGCAAGCATGGTCCATGTGCTCTTAGCCTCCATCTGTGATAGATATTGCTAATCAATTGTGACCATTTTTCTGCTGAGCTAGGTCTAAGCTTCAAATTCTTTTGAACAGAATATTCTAGAGAGGAACCCTCTTTGACAACTATGTTGAAATGGATGGTCTTGTGTTATTTGAACATTTTTTTTCTATTCATTTTATAGTTCCTAGTTAATTATGTAGTGTGGGCATTTCTACCAAATGATATATATCAGTATTGTTGAAGATTATACCAGTTCCGTTTTTCTGCTGCTTAATGCTCGGTAATATACTAACAGTACACTTTCTTCTCAGCAATGCTTTTCAGTTTTTGTTTTTCTTTTACATACAGTGGAAATGCCAGGAACTATTTACTGATAAATGGAGCCAATAACCATTCCAAGGGTAGTTCACTTCAGGGGAATTAGTTCTGATAAGTGAAATTAATAAAATGTAGAGAGCAAAAATGCAACCTAATTTACTTTTGCTCTTTTCGGAGATGATACTTAATACTTTAGCTGCTTATTATCATTCAGAGCTTTTCAATTTTGAGGATTCAAATTTCTTTTCATGTTTAAATTGCTTAAACCAGACTGTAGATCATGATCATTTGTGATATTTCCTTGAGTCTTCATTGAGGCCATGTAAACACATAATAAGCCCACTTCTTAAAAGCAGTAAGTGGAATTATCAGCTGATAGCTAGCTTCCTTCTCTCCTCTTCCTTCTCCTGTCTCTGACTTTCCTCCTTTTCAAGCAGTTGACACACACTGGTCTGTATTCGACATTTTTCTGTTGCTGTGGTAGCAACACTGACCAAAGCAATTAATAGAAGGAAGAGTTTATTTGAGCTTATGGTTCCAAAGGGGCAAGAGTCCATCATGGCAGGGAGGCATGGTGATAGAGGTGGCTGGAGGCAGAGCAGAAGCTAAGCTCTCACATCTTCAAGCAGGCACAGGAAGCAAGAAAGTGACTTGAGATCCAGAAAGACTTAAGAACCCTCTAAGCCCACCTCCCCACCCCCCGTGATGTGCTTCCTCCAGGATAGCCACACCTTCTAACACCTCCCAAAACAGCACCACCAACTGGAGACAAAATGTCCAAATACGTGGAGCCTATCGGGGACATTCTCATTCAAACCACCACATGGTCTTGAGTATTCCTTAATTATATTGTCTACATCCCAAGGCTTAGGACAATTCTTGGGAAAGAGTAGTGGCTCAAATAAATGTTGAATGAATTATAGTTATTGATAATATATGTCTTAGCTTTAAAGGAAAGACATAAGCTGGGTGTTGTGGCCATGCCTGTAATCCCAGCACTTGGGATGCTGAGGCAGAAGGAGCTCATCAGTTTAAGGCCACCCTGGTCTACATTATTTGAGACCATCCAGAGCAACTTACTGATATCCTGTCTAAAAAAAATAACCAAAGTGAATAAATAACTGAAAGAAGACCACACTGCATCAGAATCTTTCAAAGCTTTTATGCACTCAAGAAAACAGTGGCTACACAGAGGACACCTCTCCTTTCCTTCTCATGTGTTGTCTCATTGGGGTCTGCTTTGCCCTCTGGAATGTGTGTCATAGACAAGTACTGGCTCTTCTGTGTGAGCCCTGCCTCCTGCTAGTGTTAAGCAGAGTGTCAGCAACTTGGCAGCTGGAGAAAGGAGGGAGAGGAGTGCTGGGCATCCCTTCTGTGCTTCTGGATTCCCAGGGAGAAACAGGAGAGAGCATTGTTACAGGAAGCAGGCAGAGGAATCCCCCAGAAAACTGGGATAGGGCTGGGCTGTTGTTTTTTTTTTTTTTTTTTCAATTTTCAGTACTTTTTAATTTAACTTATTCCTTGACAATTTTACACATGTAAATATTTTGATCATTTTGATCATTTTCACACCTCATTCCCCCCTCTTATCTCACTCTCACTCTCTCTAGAACCCTTCTTCCCAACACATCCCCAGCACACTCTCCTACTTTCTTGTCTTTGTAAGAAAGTAACCCATTGAGTCTAATTAGGGTTCCTTGCAGGTGCATGCATCATGGGCAGTTCACTGGTGGCTCTACCTTGGAAGAAAAATGACTCACCATTTCCCAGTATCCATTAACCGCTGGCAGCTCCTCAGGGGTAGATCGGGTCAGCTGACTTAGGGAGTGGAGGACACAAAGCAAAGTTTCCCTTCTGTTTTTTTAAAAATACTTCATTTATTATTTTTATTTTATGTGTATGAGTATATTGCCTGCATGTATGTAAGTGCACCTATGTTGTGCAGTGCCCTTGGAGATCAGAAGAGGGTGTCAGGTCCTCCACAACCCTGGAGCTGGAGTTACAGATGGTTGTTAGCCACCATGTGAGTACTAAGATGTGAACCCGGGTCTTCTCCAAGAACAGCCAATGCTCTAAACTGTTGAGCCATCTCTCCAGCCCCTTCCCGTCTGTTTTTAAGTTCAGATCATTTTCCCCTTGAAAAGCAGATACATTTTTACTGTGGGGAGCTTTTGTGGGTGATACAAAAGAAAGGAAAAAAAAAAAACTGGGTAAAGGTGGAGTCAGGAATCAGTCCTGTGAAACATCCAATCCAAGCACAGTTGGGCAAGCCCAGTCTGAGGCACAGGGGTGGCCAAGCTGGCAGAGGTTTCCAGTGGTACTAAAAATAGATTCTCTGATATGCAGGGACAAGGTCAGTAAAAACACTGCGCCAGGTCTGATAGAATTGGGGACATGAAATAATTGGAAAAGCTGTAAGTAGGAGCAACTAGCTGAGATGCAGCAGAGGAATCATGAAACTGGAGTGAATCTAGGAAATAAGCCTTCATGCCCTTCTTTGTCAGCTGTCGCCCAAAAGTAAGAGCAGAAAAAATTTGATGGGTCTTGAGTACAGTTTTTGTCTTTGGTTACCTAATATGAAAAAGTCTGAATTGAAATTTCTTTCATATTCTCCTTTACATTTATACCTCTCTCTCAATCTCTCTCTTCTCTTTCTCTCACTCTGTCTCGCTCTGTCTGTCTCTCTCTGTCTGTCTCTGTCTCTCTGTCTCTCTCTGTGTCTCTGTCTCTGTCTGTCTCTAACTCTGTCTCTCTCCATCTCTCTCTGTCTGTCTCTGTCTCTCTCTCTCTGTCTCTCTCTCTCTGTCTCTCTCTCTCTCTCTCTCTCTCTCTCTCTCTCTGTACATGCTCAGGTACCTGCAGAGGCAAGAAGAGGGTAACAGATCCCTGGAGCTGGAGTTACAGGTGTTGTGGTCTTCTGGCTCTCTGAACCACTGAGCCATCTCTCCAGTTTCCATGCTCTTAACTGATGACTTTTTAGTACATTCTTCTTTTAATAGAATAATTTCCCTCATATATTGTATTGTATAAATTGAATTATAATGTTTTTTTCAGATTTTTGATTGGAAGAATATTGCTAAGGTTATGTTAAACTAATATGTTTCTTTCTTCCTAGGCCTCCTATGCTCAAACAAAAGATTGGTTTACACTGGCAAAACAAAGTCAGCAGACAGTAACCACTTTTTCCTTACCCTGCTGTATACCGCACCACAAAGTTGCATCACCAGCTATTTCTTCTGTTTCTGGTAAGAAGAAGAGGATGACTTCAGAGCCTCTTGTTTGTTCTAATCTTATAGAACTGAGTGGTTGGCGAGAAAAAAATAACTGACCCCTGTCCCTGCTGCCCAACTCAGCCATTGCCTCCCTTCTGCTTCCTACTGGTTTTCTTCTGGTTGGATTTGTCTCATTATTGTTATTGTTTGTCATTGTTTTTGAGACAGAGTCTCACTGTGCAACTCAGACTGGCCTCAGCTTCTAAGTGCTGGGATTACAAGTGTATGCCACCACACCTGGCATACTTCCTACCTACTCTCCTTTAAGAAGTTGGTATTGGTAAAAGGGGGATTGTTTTAGAACCAAATTCTGATATTTATTAGTCATGTGGTTATGCACAGAATCCCACTGTGCAGACCAGGCTAATCTCAAACTCACTATTACTGGCTGGCCCTGAAATTACAGTAATCCTTCTTGCCCTTGGCCTCTGGAGTGCTGGTGTTGTAGGCATGAATGACCATGCCCAGCTTTTACTAGTGTGATTTTAAATTTTCTTTTTAATTTATGTGTATGTGTATGTGTGTATGTGCCTGCATGAGATTGTGTGCACCACATTCATGCAGGTGCTTGGGGAGGACAGAGGAAGATAAGTCCTCTGGAACTGGAGTTATAGGTGGTTGTGAGCCACCTGATGTGCAACCTGGTCCTCTACAAGAGCAGTATATGAGCTTAACTGCAGAGCCATCTCTCCAGCCCCTGGTTGTATTTTTTAAAATCCCTCTTGGGATCTTGCTTTTTCTCGTCTGTAAGATTACACTAATCATATATAGCAAGTGTGTAGAAAATGCCTGGCCTACTACTTGCTGCATCATCTGGGGTCAGTAAGTATTTATCCTGTCTTTATTTCTATCATGCTTAATGAATTCCTATTTTCAAGTTTTTGCAATAAAGTGAATGCAGTGTTTTTGACTTCTTAAAAGTAAATTGGCTGAGACTGTTGATACATGCCTATAATCTAACACTTGGCAAACTGAGGCAGGAGGATTGTGAGTTTGAGGACAACCCAGGCTGTATAGCAAGACCTTGTCTTAAAAATAAACAAAAATTGGAAATAATCACTGATGGAATTTTGATTTCTTTTCTACTTTTAAGTTCAGACTCTTTTTTCCCCCTTGAAAAGCAGATGAATTTCTAACTATGGGGTTTTTGTGAGTGATACAAACTTTTAATAAGAATTGAAGGACACTGCCACAAATGGGAGTGACTAATTATGATGCTAATGAGGGAAAATTTAGAAAGTCAGTCACAGTTAACTCCAGTCTCTGAGAGACACATAGAACTTCTGGAGAAGGTAAGTCTGAATGCTCTAGAATTGACTCCAAATCTAGAGAAAGAAAAAATCCTCTTCATTGAAAATAGCTGGACTTGTGTGTGTCTTGCTGTTCCTCACATACTGAAATAAAAAAGTAGAGCATAGTGAGAGTGACCAGCGGGAGAAAGGCTGGCAGGAGGCACTGAGCAGAGATACCCACCCTGCTCTCTGCCCTAGCTTCCCTGTGGGGTTGAGGTGAATGCTCAGGAACCCATCACAGATTTACAAAGTCTAATCTATTTTAGGGAAATTTATTATATTCGTTTTCAATAAAAAGTATAACAAAATGTTTTCAGTCCACGGAGTTTTGAAATCTGGTAACTAATGGTAACTGATGGTAGGCATGTTCACAGTTACCTGATCTGTGGTGTTGCAGGGTGAGATTGATATGTGAAACACAATGCTGACGCTTTATAGTTCACTGACTGCTGAAAGAGAAAATAAGAGCTAAAAAACTGTGGCGCACACCTTTAATCCCAGCACTCGGGAGGCAGAGGCAGGCAGATCTCTGTGAGTTCAAGGCCAGCTTGGTCTCCATAGTGAATCTAGGACAGCTGGGGCTACAGGGTGACCCTCATTCAAAAAAAAGATTAAAAAAAAAAGTTAGTTTCATGAGTCCCTACTTTATTTTCCCACTTTAATAATAAGGACTATAGTTATGATAATTTTTTGGGGGGTGTTTTTGTTTGTCATTGTTTGTTTTTTGAGGCAGGGTCTCATCATGTAGCACTGACTGGCCTGTAATTTGCTATATAGACCAGGCTGGCCTCAAACAGAAATCTGCCTGCCTCTGCCTCCCATTATGTTTTTATCCTCACTCTAAGTTTAAATATAACTAAAATAGTTTAAATTAGCTCTCAACATCAAGCAATGGGCCATTGATTAAAATAGTGCTGGGATAAAAGGTATGTGCCACCACACCTGGTTGTATGATAGTTTTTTAGACCTTCTTATGAATAGTTGGGGGCTGGAGCGATGGCTCAGCTGTAAAGAGTACTGACTGCTCTTACAGAGGACCTGGGTTTGATTCCCAGCACCCACATAGTGGCTAATAACCATCCATAACTCCAGTTCCAGGGGAATCCAACGCCTTCTTCTGACTTTTGTGGACATTGTACAAAACAGGTGCACTTACACACATGCAGGCAATACACTCATATGTGTGAAATAAAAATAAATAGATAAAACATTTTTTAAAATAATGAGCAATTAAACATTATTGACACAGATTCCAGTTCTGGGGTGCTCATAATGGTCGCATTATTTCACACAAGAGGAAGTGTTAAAGCACATAAAGCAGTTGTTAATGTACAGGATATCTCATGCACTAGTAGATTTGGTCTTTGTATTTTGTCACTAATTCTATATTTTAGAAATACTACATTTTCAAAGCTTATAATCTCTTTTTGAGATCCTCTGTGTTAGAGACATTGAACAGTTAGTATCCTTGTGGGAGGGCGAAGTTAATTCTTGTTGGCAGTTTTTCTCTAGTGACTCCAAACATGGCTTTAAAATCCTGCTAAAGACAACGGTCCATGCAGTCACCCCTGAGGCTGTCCCATTTGCCATGGCTCTGTAGCATGTTTAATAGAAGATTCTGTATTCATATATAACCTAATAGACTTTTATGATTTAATACAGAGAATTTTATCTTTGATGATGGAGTTCACCCCAGAACAATAAATGACTTATCTAAAACATCTGAAATAACTCCTGAATTGGAAGAAGAAGGATCTATATCCATAAAAGACACTCCTTCGCAAGCTCTTCTGAGAATATACCTTGAAAAGCAAGTGGAAGAGGATGACAGAAACCTGACAATGCATTTCTCCTCACTAGAAGAATTTTTAAATGCCTATATAATCTTTATTTTGAGAGAAGCTGTTGAGCATATCACAGGACATTCCTTTACTGATAACCCAAGCAACGTAAACTTCTACCATATACGACGAGCAGTATTAGATAACCCCATGTCTTCCGCTAGCAAGAAAGTTGTAGTCCCACCAGAAAAGGAAACTGTAAAGGAAAGCTCAGAAGAGATACTGGAGAAAGTAAGTCTAAGTTCAAAGAGTGAGAGCATTGGGCCTGAGAGCAGGGCTAACTGGTGTATGTCTCACAGAACTTACGACATTGGCAATAGAAGGGAATTTGAAAGATTTAAGAAATTTTTAAAGGGCACATTAGGAGAGAAATACTGGTGGCTGTGGATGGATATTGAGAGGTTAAAAGTTCTAAAGGATCCTGGAAGACATCAAAGGTATTTTCATTTTTATTTGTCAATAATTTAAAATATACAAATTATAGAATATTTGTGTTACTTAAGCATAGGCAGAAAGCCTGAAATAGATATTAAAATGTAGTTTATACCTGTGTAAGAATGAAAATGATAAAATTTATTTTATGATAAATTTTGATTTCATAAGTTTTCTGATTTTATAACTTTCAGGTACTAATAATAGTAGTTATTTGGATTTTAATAATGTTTATGCCTATAAATTCTAGAACTACTCTAAAATTATTCTACTTGGATGATGCATAACTTTTATAGGATGATTTATCACTATATGACCACACTCACATAAGATGGGCAATGCTACCAGTGTAAAGGCCTGTTCCCACTGTCTGCTTGACTGACACATTCTGTGGTCTTTGGTCAAATGCTATGCAGCTGACTGGCTGTGAGTCTCTCTGCTAGAGAGCCTCCTGAAGGTCTAACAGGCCTCAGGTCTTCATTTGGCCAGCTCCATCTGCTTTAGATTACTATAAGTGTTAATATGAGCAGGACATTACTTAAAGAAAGTCCTTGAGTCTATAGTTTACTGATTGAATCTGAAACAGATTAGACTGTAATTTCTATTAAGGGTTTGATGAGTATATACTAGTGTTGCACTAAATTGTCCCTTTCTCCCTTCTTGGGAGCCTCTGCCTATGTGCCCTCCAAGGCCCCAAGGGCTCGAAGACTAACATAAGACATTTTTAGTTTGGGTTTTGTACCGTTTTTATGACTTTGGGAGGGAGTGACTTACAAAAAACAGCTTCTCAGGACCCACGCATCATTCAAGTCCTGCCTACAGTATCCATTAGCATTCATGAGCTGCACCCATGGTCTTAAGTGTCCCATCCCATATCCATACCCAGCAGGATACTACAGTTCGCCTCATAGGCCCCACACACACTTTTCTCCATTCCAATCTTGCTGCCGTGCTAACTCTCTGCAGCTAACTCTCCATCTCCTGGGCAGCTCCACCCCTCTTCCCAGGGTGCCCCTCATCTTGTCCCTGGCTGGCTTACACTTTTTAGAGAAATGAATAATTTGGGGCTACACTCCACCCCTTTCCTCTTGCTCTTACAAACTTTCCACCATTTCTTCCATGAATTTCCCTGAGCCTTGGAGGGGGTGACAGATGAAGGGTGATCTCTCTTGTATTATGGTGAGATAGTGACCTCTTGGGCTTCCACATCATTCGTCTTCAAGATGTGGCCACTGATCTGTCTCAGTGGTGGTTTTTCTACTATGAAGACAAATGGAAGGAAGTAGACACATCTAAACAAACATGAATGTAAATACAAATGTCTAGAAGAGATCCCAGTAGGTGTACCATATTCATTAAACAGTATACTTGCAACTTTTTCCCTGCTGGGGACTGTAGCCTTCCCTGACACAGGGGGTTGGCCTGGTCTACAGTACTACATGTGCGTACCACCCCTAGAAGCCGGCCTTATCCAATTAGAAATTTGTCAGTTGTATGTATGTTAGTTGAGCCATTATTGCACTAGCAGACATTGCTTGGCATGTCCATAATGTGCAGCATGCGGGGTCCATTGTTGAGTAGAATCATAGGGGACCCTTTCTTCCCCAATCATCTGCATAGTGCCTTCTGGCACTTGAAAGCCATCTATCCTGTGGCATGGAGTTTTTGGCTTAGTCTCACCTCCATCTCTTCTTCTCCTGTGCTCACATCATGCAGTGTCTTCAGCAACATGGCCTTACTGACCTTTCTAGTGTACAACAGGCGTTAATGGCAATAGCCTTGGTTAATTTGAGGGCCTCTAGGATCTCTCTCTGACCAGTAGCTCATAGGGGGGCAACCCACACCTGGTACTGTAGTTTTTCTTAACAGTTTTATAGTTTTGGGAGCCTCTGTTTTTATCTTAGCCAGCCATAAAACTCCCAAAAATCTTACAGCTATAGCTGCCCTTTGTTTCTTCAGGTATCTTTCAAATGGGTTTCACATCTGTAAAACACTCAGTGGTTAACATCATATATTAAATCAATCATAGACAAGATCTAATACAGCATGGAAAGGTTTTATCCATTCGTATTAATTGCTTTCTCCATAGATCTTTGTTAGGTACCATATCATGGGTAAGAGGCATTAATTTGGTTAGTTCTTTACTATCTTTATTTATCCCTTTGGAGTCATCCTGCATTCTGGGGATCTTACATGGAGTCTCTTTGTATTCTTTTATCCTTGATACACAGGTGCTGATTTCAGTTGCCTAATCCTGCCCCTGGCTAAGGAGGCAGGGGGTCTCTCTTTTCCCCACTGCACCTGTTGGTTCCAAGTCAGGCAAGCCCTGGGTCTGCCTCCTGATGGTAGCCATACCTGTCACCTTTCCATTGACCATACTTGGCTGCTGGGGGAGGCCCTGGTGGAAAAAACTGCCTCCACCCCTAGCATAGCCTTTCTCAGGAAAGAAAGGCACCTTATTTAAGCTCTGGGGATCCTTAACCACCCTGGGACAGTTTTTATTCTTTGAATGCCTTTTGTAAACTGTTCTTCCAGTTTTAAAGCCGTCCAAAAATTTCTTAGTACTGAATTTGGTTTTCTACCAATTTTTTTCTTTGGGAATTTGGGCTTTACATAAATCTTGCAACATTTGTCTTTGAGTAACCCAAACAGACCATTTCTTCTGTCTGGTCTTTTTTATATCTGTTGCAGGTTGTTCTGTTATTCTGCAGACACATTTTACATACTGGTTTGAGTCACTTAGATTTGCTAAAGCCTCTCTCACTTTACAAAGATCTTGTCCCATTAAAGGACTTAGCAAAAACATTAAAGCTCTATGCCATTCTCAAGGTCCCAGTTGAATTAAGCTTTTCTTTATATCTCTGGTGAACACAGTCTTATCTGGCCCAGTGAACGGGGCATCATATATTGCTTTCCTCATACCTAGTTCTCTCAGTAATGCCTGTCCCTCCTTTATAGTGCTCCAGCCACTGCAAATCGCAGGAGTCTCCCCTGGTGACAACTATTCAATTCTACACAGACACAATCAGTATAAACAAGGAGTCCGTGGGGAAGTGGTCTTCAGAATACTTAATCCACACTCATGGACAGGAGACCGCATTGCTGTAGCAGGGATCCAGTACACAGTGGCTGCCATAGACCGCTGGCGAGTAAAGATAAAAAAGACAATTCAGGATTCAAGGCCCCAGAGAGCTATGAAAGTCTTAGATCAGACATGCAGCATGGCCGTGAAGCAGCTTCAAAGCCTCAATGCCTCCCGCAGCTTCTCTTGGGATCACATTCTCACTTTATCGTTAATCTCCTGAGAAACTTCTCTAATGCTAATGTCTCCACTTGCTTTCTCTGTGCCCTCCTGCAGGGCTCACTTTCTTGTCCCTCTCTCAGTTTATAGTGTTACTCCCCAGGCCACTACTCAGTGTTCTCGGAAACTTCTAGTACACGGCCCCATGCCTGCCCCTCCCCTTTTTCTTAACAAAACAGTGTTGGACTCCATGAACCTCTAAATGCCCACACTCATCAAGCCGAGATATCACAATTAAGGAAAT